CAACCACCACCTGCTACACCATCGAGGTCCAGGATGCCGACAACTCTTGGAACGACTTCCGAAGCGGCACCTGATGCGGTAGACCTACCGGTACCAGACGAAGCCCCAAACAAGGTCCTGATCCTGCAGCCCAAGCCGACCTTCAAGTCAAAGCTGGGGAGCGAGCTAGACCCCAAGAAGTTCAATCAGATGGAAAGGGACGAAATCAGCGAGGCCGACATCAACCAGTGGAAGAAGCACCTGGACATGGAGGCGATCGAGATGGTGTACCCAGACGAAGCAGCGAAGTGCATGCGAGACAAAACGCATCGTATCTTGCAAGTGCAGTCGCGATTCGTACGCACCATCAAAGCACTACAAGGAGGTGGATTGAAGGCGAGTTCGAGACTGGTCTTGCCAGGCCATCACCTACGGAATGGACTGACCTCAGGCGAAGCGCGGACGAACAATCCGACAGCTGGGCTGACTGCGTTGTGCCTGAGTTCTCTCTGGCCGGGTACGTCGGTTGACAGGAGGCCTACTTCCGACCGCCACAGGACAGAGCTCTTGGCCAACCGAGCGGGTGCCTGACACGGGCCTTGAAAGATCGATTTGGCAGTCTACAGGCGCCAATGCCAATGGAATTTCGAGTTTACCGAGAAAACGAAGACGGCTCGAACTGAGCAAGAACCTTAGTACCCGTGTTTACTCTTCCTGAGGCGCGACCGTAAGCAATGCGGGCTAGTGCACGCTAGCGTGGACGATGCCACCACGACGGGAGGGGGCGACTATCTCAACACGTTCAACACGGAGTTCCTGAAACCCCTGAGGCTGAAACACGTGCACACCGACTATCCCATGTTCCTGAAGCGACGTATTGCGCGTCAGCCCAACGACGAGATCCACGTCACCATTGGGACCATGGAAGAGGCAGCACAGAAGATCAAGCCTGTGTTCATTCCGAAAGTGCGACGCCAGAAACCAGACGCGCCATTCTCGAACGAGAATGGCGCGTCTGGTCTAACCGAGATGTTACCCCGGCCTAACCGCGGGGCCTTCCCCGAGTTTGCCTAAGACGTGTTGGGCCTCCAGCAGAAAGTCTCAGAGGCTACGGTTTTGGACGCTAGCGATGGGCACGACAAAAAGGGGTACGATGCCCAACCAAAAATGTTCCCAAAACCGACAGCGGCCGATGTTGCGCAGGCCGCCCTCTGCCTCAAACGGACAACGTCCGCGGCGGCGCGGACAGCGAGTCCTGTTCAAAATGAACAGGAACTGCTGTGGGGCATCGTACCCATTCTTTCCGTACCCATGTAGTTCGTGCCGAACGGTAAGTACACTGTGTCAGGACCAACTCGCTATTGCGCGACCTCCAAGAAGGATCCAAGAGGGTGGTCATGAAATTCATCAGTGGAGGTAGCATTGGCAGAGTGACATCAAGTCCCCATACAGATGCGAGTTTTGACCGACAACCTCGCGGAGGCAGCCAGCAGGGTTATATGAAACTACTCAGCGATCGACGACTGATATTCGACGACAGTTTTCCTGCATCCCCCGTGAGATGGGGTTCGACAAAGATCCATCGAGTAGTGCGTTCCACTCTGGCCGCCGAAGCAGCAGCACTGGCGAATGAGTAGGATATCGTGCGATTCTAGCATACCTACTCGACAACTGGACAGGCGGCTGGATGACGGACATAAGGTGTCATGGGTGGACTGCAAGAACCTGCACGACATCATGCACAAAGAGGGCGGCATCCCCTCAGAGCGCCGGGTCGCTCTGGACATCTACGATATGCGCGAGAACTTGGAGGACGACGACCTGCTGTGGACCAGCACCAACACCATGATTGTGGACCCGCGGACGGAAACGCTGCGGCAGGCTGCAACCCACACCACCACGCGACTCCCTACTGACGGGCGTCGTGAGCCCGCCGACACTGCAGGCGGACTGGGCCCGCAGACGAGGGCGAGAGAGAGTCTGGAAAGACTGGGACGTTCCACGAACGCCTGGTGAGTCCATCCATGTACCAAAGGGATCAACTTTGTAGAACTTGACGCGCGTGAAGCTACGATGCACGCGTACTTGTTTGCGTCGGCGGCTGGGCAGAGGATGACTGCTTCGGCGGACTGGCAACAGGGGGAACGCTGTACAGTCAACCTGTATAGTAAGGATAAGCGATAAGGATGCAAGGGCCTTGGACGCCCATTTCGAAGCTTTTTGAGCGGGGCGCGGCCAACGAAAGTGGCGAAGGATGGACCGAGGAGGTAAGGATACAAAGGTACTGACAGGAAAAGAAGGAAACGATGCACGCATACATGTCTTGGGGGGCCCAAACATATCCACCACCACCACCTCCGTCACCCCCACCCTCTCCCAGGAAAGGGGAGAGGTGGGTAGAGGAGAGAGGAGGAATCGACGTGGTGGTGGTGTATATTCTCTGGGTCCCCATGTCTTTTTTGTCCTGGGCCTTCCTGTCGGGTCGAGGACCGAGTGGCTGCCTACTTCGCCCCTCCAGGCCCTTCCGAGGCCTTCCGGCGCTTGCCGGCTCCTTTCCTCTACCACCTCCTCTCCCTCCTCGCCCGGTGCTCGTCGCCCGCTAACGCTGTGGCTCAAGCTCAGGCCTTGAATCGAGTCGGCGACCGAAAAGGCCGATCGCCGCCCGATCGGCCCCCCCGGCGGCCGCGCCGCCGCCAGAGAGCTACAGGTCCCCACTGGAACCGGCCTCGAGCAGGCCGACATCGAGCAGGCCGACATCGAGCAGGAGGGCTCCCAAGACGGCCCCGAGAGCGTCACAAGAGGTGCTCATGAGCGTTCCTGACCTGAGGGTGGACCAACATCGGAAACATGCCCTTCCTTTGATTGTCACTTTAGAAGATGGCCCCGAGAGGCCCTCCAGGGCTCCGAAAAGGCCCCCAGGGGAGCTCACGGACAACCTCAAGAGGACCCCAAGCGGACTCCAAAATGGCTCCGAAAGATTTCGTCCTCGATGTCCTCCGTTCCTTTTCCTTTCGAATACTTCCTCCCTGTCGCAACCCGAGGCCAGTCGGACGGGCGGGCCGGGCGCTTCGCCTGAGACTTCCTTACCAGCAGTGAGCATAAAGCTTAAAAAAAACTGACAGCGGTTCCACAGATAGAGGGCGGGCAGCTTCCAAAATGTGGCTCTCGCCTCAGCGCCGCGCACATTCGTTTCCAATATGTGCAAGAGTTTCACGGATTGAGGGCGGGTCGTTTTCGAAGTGTGGCTCTCGTCCTAACGCCGCGCATACTCGTTTTGAAATTGTGCAAGAGCTACAAGGATGGAAGGAGGGTCGTTTTCGAAATGTGGCTGTCGCCTGGGCGCCGCGGGAATTATTTCTCAACATGTGCAAGAGCTTGACGGATTGAGGGCGGATCCTTTGCAACATGTAACCTCTCGCCTTAGCGCCGCGCACTTTCGTTCAAGCAGTAGCAGGATTTCCACGAATTGAAGGCGGTTCCTTTTCGAAATGTGATTCTCGTCATCGCACCGCGCACATTCTTATCCAACACGATCAAACAGTCAATCGTGTTCATGGTTTACGTACCAGGTATGGTAATTATTTGGAAACGACTCAGGACTGACAGGGCGCAACAGTTACGTTGGTTCGTGATGTTGACGGGCGCGACTCAGGATCGTCCAGACACAACAGTCAGGTTGAATCGTGGCGTTGACGTCTTCACACTGGTGTTTTGGTAAGCTTCAAAATGTTCACACGGCTGTCCCCCGGCAGGGCACTTCCCACAGTGGAAATGAATCCTTGTAGCGGCCATGAATGGGGACTTTGGAGTGAGGGTGTATTCCAACATCGTTGATGAGGCTTGGTTTTACACGGGTCCTCTTTCTGCTCCCAATCTTCGTTTTCCTCGTCCTCGTCATCGTTACCGCCATCATCACCGTCTCGTCGTCATCGTCCTCCTCTTTCTCCTCCTGGTCTTTGTCTTCCTCCTCCCTCCTCCTCTTTCTCCTCCTGCTCGTCTTCCTCCTCCTCCTCCTCCTCATCGTCCGCATCCTCATCATCGTTCTTGCCCTGGTCGTCCTCCTAGCCCGCCTCCTCATCACCGTTCTCCTCAATCTCGTTGTCCCAAAGAGGGTCTCGAGAGAGCCCCGGAACGGCCCGAGAGTACCAAGAAGACCAAAAAATGGCTCCAAGACTCCTCATCCTCATCGACTCATCGTCATCCTTCTTCTCCACGTCGCCGTCGTCGTCATTGTCCTGCTCAGTGTCCTCGTCCTGGTACTCGTCCTCCTCGTCATTTTTGGTTGACCCAAAGGGGGATCCAGCTGAAAGGGGGTGGTGCCATAGGATTAGGGCAATTATTTGCAAATGCACTGCGCCAGAGAATTGGATTGCTTTGCATTGCAACTGACGTATTGCACGCGAACCCCCAGCAATGCATTTGCGAACCGAGATGTATTGCATGCCCCAAATCCCTTGCGACCCCACAAAAAAATTGCACCAACTCTATTACACCTCCTCCTTGTCGCTGGACCCCGTCATCTTTGTCATCGTCCTCGTGCTCGTCCTCGTCGTCCTCCTCCTCCTCCTCCTCCTCCTCGTCCTCCTCCTCATCGTTCTCGTTGTCGTTCCCCCTGTGTATTCCTCATCGTGGGCATCGTGTCTACATGGGCGAAGCGTCAAGTGTTCACCGTTTTCGGCCTCCAGGGTCACGCCCAGGGGCCCCGTGCTGGAACAGAAACATTGGATCTCAAGTCAATTTTGGGCCAGATACTGGTGCACTGGTCCCACTAGAGTAAGACTCGGGGGCGCAAAGTGGGAGGAGGCAAGCCTTCTCACAGGCGGCGATGCTTCTCAGAAGCCCTCCGTTCATCTGAGAAGCCGTTTGTGCCTTCGGAAAAGGCTTGGAACACTTCTCAGAAGACCAGGGGCCTTCTGAGAGGTCTTCCCCCATGAGCGCGCCGCCCAACCTTGAGCGCCCGCGCCGGGACAGCTGCCGCATCGACACGACACGATCATATCGTGATTCTCCTTCCCTCGATCCCTCAGCAGCACGCGGGCGTCGCGCTCCCTGGCGGCCAAGTGGTCGGCCGTGCCCAGGAAGCCGCAGAGGTCCACCTGGGCAGACAGGTCGCCCGGGTCGTACCCGTCCACGTCCAGCCCAAGCTCCGCGAGGAGCTCCTCAAAAGGAGTCGAAAACATCTCCTTGAAGGTCTTCGCAATAACGGTTCAAAGATATTTGGCCCGATTAAATGGCCATTGAGCGGGATTATACAAGCCAGATGGAGCCCCAAACTGAGCCAGACTGAACCAAATTCAACCATGTTCAGCGGAATTCGGCAAAAACGGACTGCTAGATCAGTGAAGTTGCCACGGATACCAGCGCTGATGCTGATTTGGGTCTCCGAGGAGCTGTGTCCTGAAAGAGGATTGGCGGCGCGCACAAGGGGGTGGAGAGAAGGGGGGGGCTTCTCAGAAGCAGGGGTGCATCTAAGACGCCCTCCCTCATCCCCCCACCCCCCTCTGCGCGTAACTGAAAGGAACCGGTACCGCTGGCCGCTGCCCTCTCCTCGCCTGTAGCCTGACAGGGCCTCCTTCGTCGCCACGGCTTGACTCGCCTGGAGATCCGCGGCCAAAGCGTACCCTGCACGGTTTCCCCCGGGACAGTAGGCGACCGACCCGAGGAGGAGGAGGAGGAGGAGGAGGAGAGGAGGAGGAGGAGGAGGAGGAGGAGGAGGAGGAGGAGAGGAGGAGGGGGTAGGGGGAGGAGGAGAGGAGGAGGAGAAGGGAGGAGGAAGGAGGAGGGAGGAGAGGAGGAGGAGGAGGAGGAGGAGGAGGAGGGGAGGAGGAGGAGGAGGAGGAGGAGGAGGAGGAGGAGGAGGAGGATGAGGAGGACGAGGAGGAGGAGGAGGAGGAGTGAGGAGGGAGGAGCAGGAGGAGGACGCGTCGCCTAAGCCCTTCGGAGAAACCCTCCAACGTACCCTAGGAGAGGTCCCTTGGGAGTGGTGGAGTGGACTCCCGCTGCTCGCCCAGAGCTCCAGGGCGATCTCCCTGGTCGTGCAGGATGCGCGCTCCTGGCCAAGCAGCTCCATGAAGCGCCGCTTGTACTCAGCAAGGTCGCCCTGCCGCAGCAGGTGAACTACCTTCAGAAACATGTCGAAGGACAGCAGCGGGAACGAGAGCCCGTCGAACGACGGCGCGACCCTCTCGAAGCACCTCCGCTGCTGGTCGAAGGGGTGCACACGGCCCGTCTGCCGCAGCAGAAGGCCCAGCCTGGACGGGCAGACCTCGCCAGAGCCCTCGTGGTCCTGCCTGTCGAAGAGGGCCCGGAACTCCTGGGTCGACGAGGCGCTCCACCCGCTGCGCAGCCGGTAGGCGCGCACCATACGCCACAGGGCGCTGGGGCCCAGGGCGCCCTGCGGCTCGCGGGCGCCCGCGTCGGCGAGGCACTCGAGCAGCAGGTCTGGTTCCGGGCAGAGCAGGTCCAGGCTCGACAGCACCAAGTCTGGCCTGTGGGGGTGCTCCGACGCGGCCCGCTGCATGGCGCGGATCTCGTGCTCGCGGATCAGCCTCATGCACATGAGGAACTCGCGCTCGTTGAGACTCCCGCTCTGGTCGACGTCGACCTCCGTGACTAGTTCGGCCGCCCGGTGGGGGCCCCACGAGTAGCCGAGAAATGTGAGAACGGCCCCGAACTCCCGGAGATCAAGCTGACCTGAGCAGTCCCAGTCGAAGCGGGTGAAGATGTCCATGAACTCCTGAAACTCGCTGAGGGTGAAGCCCTCCCGCAGCGATAGGAGCTCTGCCAGCTCCAGGAACTGGCTCTCCTCCAGCGTACCGCCCGGCTCTACGCCCACCTCGGGCAGCAACTCGGCAACCACGTGCTCCAGGGGAGCCAGCCCGAGGCTGTCCAGAACGCCGACCACGTCTACGGACGTGACCCTGGAGCCGCGGCCCTGCTCCTGGAACGCCTCGAGGTAGGCCCTCCGCTGCCTCTCCATGTACCTCTGGCCGAACTCGAGAAACTCCTCGAACCCGACCCTGGAGTACCGCGTCAGCTGCCCCAAGATCTCCAGGATCCACTGCCGGTCGGGCAGCACGTGGCCGCAAAGGTAGACCGCCGTCTCCAGGTCGTCGCAGTGCACCTCCCCGTCCACCTGCAGCTTGCGGAAGATGTCGGCCCAGGCCGTCTCCCGCAGACGCCCGGTGGCGTCCCCCGCCTGCCGCTCCACGGCCGGCTCTTCCGCCCCCTCGTCCACCGCGCTGGGCTGCTCCCCCGCGGCCTCCTCGCCGCGGCTGGGTGAGCCCTGCCGCGGAGCGCCCTGCTGCGCGTCCTGCCCGAAGCCTTGCACGGGGCTCCCGGTCCGGAGGCTGGAGCACGCGCCAAAGGATACCCTCGCGGGGATGCGCGCAACCCTGTTTTGGACTCCCGAAATGGGTTCGGGAAAAATGGGTACAATGCCCAACATCAAATGTTGTCCCAAAGCAACAGCGGCCGCTGTTGGGCAGGCGGCCTTCCGTTTCAAATGGGCACAGGCCGCGGCGGCGCGGACAGCGAGCCCCGTCAAAATGAGCAGGAACTGCTGTTGGGCATTGTACCCATTCTTTCCGTGCCCAGTTCGTGCGTACCGACCTGTACACCGACCGGCGGGTGCGGATGCAGGCCTCCGTGCGCCCCACGGCGGCGAGACTGGGCGACATGGGCTCGGAGCTGCCGAGCGGCCACGCCGACGCGTCGCCTCGGCCCAGCGGGTCGCCTCGCTGCGCCTCGGGCGACGGGGCCCCGCCGCACTCGGCGTGCGTCGGCGCCGGGCCTCGGCCCTCGCCGTGCCGCGCGGCCGCGGCCGCGAGCACGGCTGTCCTCTCCGGCGCTGAGGGCCCGCCACCCTCCGGCGGTGCGCGCGCCGGCGGCCGCGCGGGCTCCGGGGCGGTCGCCGGGCGTCGCGGCGAGGGCAGCGCAGGCCGCGGCTCGCCGCCGTCCGCCTGCGAGTGCAGGTAGCCGATGACGGTCTCCACCAGGACCGGGACGGCCCCGGCGGCCGCGGCCTTGAACCTCGAGCACCGCGGCGACGCTGCGCGAGCCGACGGCAGAGAGACTGCCGGGGGCCGCAGGAGGCCCTGACCGCTGGCGGCGCCGCCGAGGGCGGCGCCCACGGGGCTCGGGACGGGCGCCGCCTCGCGGGAGCGATGCGGGGAGGCGCCGTGGCGGGCTCTCCTCGGCGGCAGCGCCAGCGCCTCGCCAGAGGGACCCCTCCGGCCCGGCGGCGACGCGGGCGGCATCGCGGGCTTCCCCCGCGCAGCGGCCCTGAGGCCGCTGGCGGCCTCTTCTCCTTCGGCCAGCGGGCCCCTGGCGCCCTCCGCCAGAAGCTCCAGCTTCGCGCTGGCCCGCCCAAGGCTGCCGCAAGGCAGCCAGGGGCTGCCGCCGCCAGCCAGAAGCTGCCTCCCGCCCCTGGCCGCGAGCTGGCCGCGCCTCTGCGAAGCCCTCCGCGCTCTTCCGAGCCACTCGACGCGGAGGCGCTCGTCCCCTGGCGGGGCGGGCGGCTCCGCCTTCCGGCCAGGCTTGGAACCACCACGGCCCTTGCTCCGCAACCGCGTGTCCTGAGGCTGAGGGCCGTAGTGGCACCACGGATCCACGTGCATGCTCGATGGGCTCCCGCGGCGGGCGGGCGATGGCGACCGAGGCGGCTGCGGCGTCGTCTGATCGACCGCCGTTAGCACGCGCGGCCTCGGCCGCGGGCCGCCTCGCGACGGCCAGGCGGCCGCCGAGGCGGCTACCGACGGCAGCGCCCGCCGCGGAGAGCCGCCCTCAGGCAGCTCCGGTGCGACGGAGGTGCGCTTCCAGGCCGAGGGGGGCCCGGAGCCGGGGGCCGCCGCCCGCGGTGGCTCCGCGCCGCCGCTGGGCGAGGAGGGCGCGCCGTGCGGCGAGCCGCCGGGCGAGGCATGCCTGACTTCCACCTGCAGGCAGCGGCCAGGGCACCGTGGGGCGCCCGCGCCGCGCGGGGGCGGGGAGGCGGCCGGCGCCAGGCCGCGCCAGGGACTATCGCGGCTCGGCCCCGCCGCGGACAGCATCGATCTGGCCGCGCAAGCCCGCGGGGGGGCCCCTGCGGGGGGGCCGCCGGCTGAGGCCGAGCCCGTCGCAGCGCGGCCGGAACCTCTCCTCCTCCTCCTCCTCCTCCTCCTCCTCCTCCTCCTCCTCCTACTTCTCCTCCTCACCCACACGCGGATGATGTTGCACTCACGACTGTTGATGCCGACGCGGAAAGTCCTCGTCTGGTGGGGGTAGTCTTTCTCGGCGTAGCGGCGGCGCGCTGAGGCCAGCCCACCCACTAGGTCCTGGCGCAGCGTCGCGAAGTTCTGGGGCCACAAAGGCCGCTCTCTTCTTCCTCCTCCTCCTGCTCCTCTCCTCCTCCACCCCTCCTCCTCCTCCTCCTCCTCCTCCTCCTCCTCCTCCTCCTCCGTGCTCCTCCTCCTCCGTGCTCGTCCTCCTCTCCTCCTCCTCCTCCCCTCCTCCTCCTCTCCTCCTCCTCCTCCTCCCCCTCCTCCTCCTCCTCCTCTTCCTCCTCCTCCTCCTCTCTTCCACCTCCTCCTGCTGCTGCTCCTCCTCATCCTCCTCCTGCTACTCCACCTTCTCATCCTCCACCTACTCATCCTCCTCCCCCTACTCCTCTTCCTCTTTCTCTTCCTCCTCCTACTCCTCCTCGTCCTCCGCCTGCTCCTGCTCCTAATCCTCTTCCCCTCTTCCACTCGCCCCTCCTCCTCTCCTCCTCCTCCTCCTCCTCCTCCTCCTACTCCTCCTCTCCTTCATCCTCCCCCTCCCTAGGCCCCTCCTCATCCTTCTCCTCCTCCTCCTCCTCCTCCTCGCCTCCTCCTTCCCCTCCTCCTCCTCCTCCTCCTCCTCCTCTTCCTCCTCCTCCCCCTCCTCCTCTTACTCGTCCTCCTTCTCCTCCTTCTCCTCTTCCTTCTCCTCCTCCTTCTCCTCCTCCTCTTCGTTTGTCTGTCCTCCTACTTTTTCCTCCTGCCTGCTCCCTCTCTTCCTCCAACCCCCCGTTTCCTCCTACGCATCCTCCCCAATCTCCTCTACCCCCCATCCTCCTCCTCCTCCTCCTCCTCCTCCTCCTCCTCCTCCGCCTCCTCCCTCCATTTCTGAGCTTCCATGCCCATCTTCGGGGGCTTCATGGATCACACGCTCCGTGGTCGTCTCGGTGGCAATTTGTTCTGCTGGTCTGGGGTTGCCAATGGCTGTTGCCCAAGTGTTAGCCCCAAAGATGTCTGGCCGCGACAGGCCGCGCCAGGCGTGGCGTCGGGAGAACATTCCACACGTTTTGTCCTCCGTCCCAACTCACCTCGCTTGCCGCAGTATTCCGCGATGCTTCTTCTCCTCCTCCGCCTCCTCCTCCTCGTCCTCATCCTCCTCCTGCTCCTCTTCCACCTCCTCCTCCCCCTCATCACCATCACCACCACCATCATCATCATCATCAGCATCATCATCATCATCATCATCATCATCATCATCATCAGCAGAACCATCATCAGCATCATCATCATCATCATCATCATCATCATCATCATCATCATCATCATCATGATCATGATCATGATCATCATCATCATCATCATCAGCATCATCAGCACCATCAGCATCATCATCATCAGCATCGTCATCATCATTATCAGCATCATCATCAGCATCATCATCATCATCATCATCAGAAGCAGCATCATCAGCAGCATCATCATCGTCAGCAGCACCATCACCAATCATCATCAGCATCATCATCAACATCATCATCAGCAGAACCATCATTATCACCAGCAGCAGAAGCAGCAGCATCAGCAGCACCACCATCATCATCGTCATCATCAGCATCATCATCATCATCAGCAGCAGCATCATCATCAGCATCACCATCATCATCCTCATCATCACCATCATCATCACCATCATCAGCAGCAGCATAATCAACATCAGCATCCTCATCATCATCATCATCATCATCAGCATCATCCTCATCATCACCATCATCACCATCACCATCATCAGCAGCAGCAGCAGCATACTCAACATCAACATCATCATCATTACCACCATCATGATCATCATCATCATCAGCAACATCATCCTCATCCTCATCCTCATCCTCATCCTCATCCTGCCCCCCTCTTTCTCCGCCTGTTCCCCCTGAGGAGGAGGAGGAGGAGGAGGAGGAGGAGGAGCAGGAGGACGAGCGCGGAGGAGGGGTAGGATGGCCGAGCAAAGGCAAATCGGCAACCTCGGCTGTGCTGCGCCGCTGCCACTCTTCAAGTGGTCTGCTGGAGCGACAGCTGTTGTCTGCGGGAGGGCTGAGGACGGGATGAATCAGGGAGGACGTCAGAGGAGTACCAGAGGAGTACCAGGACGTCAGGGTGATGAGCAGAAAAGGGGGGCGAAGGAGGATAGGGAGGACGTCAGAGGAGTACCAGGGTGTAGGAGCGGGATATCCTCCATCTTTCCTCCTGCTGCTGCGGCTCCTGTTCCTCCAACGCCAGCCTCCTCCTCCTCCTCCTTCTCCTCCTCTTCCTCGTCCTCCCGAAAAGGCCTCTGTGGAGGCTGCTGGTTTGGGTGGTTGAGGTTGTTGATTTGCCCTCCCACGACAACCGAGCTCGGTCGGGAATTGGATATTGATTTGCGCGAATCGCCGAGCCCCAGATCACGCGACTAGAACCGTGTTTTTACTGTCCTGGGGAGACCCCTACCACGACATGACCTTAGAAACAAATCAACTTATGAAGAATGCGCACCGGGTCGACGAGGTTTGGGTCATCTCCTTGCTCGGTGGATGACACCCCTGCTGATCTCGGCGGTGGTGGCAGACCAGCACCTCCAAATTTTGGTGCCTCCCTGGGCGCTGACGCTTGCTCTCCGCGCTGCATTCTGCCCCGAATCCACTCAAAATCGCTCCCCGGGCCCCTCCAGGGGGCCATCCTGATCAATATTTCGAAGCGGGTCCAGCCATGGGGACGAGGAAGCCCAAAAAGGACGAAGAAACGCTGAGGGAGGGGGCCGCTGTTGACTAGACTGGTCCTCCTCCGGCAGAACAGGGAAGCCGAATGCTCCGTCGCCTTAGCCTATAGGCGGCCGCTGCCTGTTGTGAAGACGTCTTGGGCCCTTCCTCGAGAGGTTATTCGGTGGAGCGGTGGAGAACAGATTTTGGGAAAGACTGTCGAGCTTGCACTCCGAGACACCTGGCGTCTCGATGTTTTCGAGACACGGGCCCGACCTTGCTTTTGTGAGGCCCCCGGGCCCAGTAAGAGTCCCTAGAGGCCGAAAACGATGAAAGACCTCGGCTCGATTTTCTCGAGACGCCGGGTGTCTGAGCCCACTTGCCTTAGGTCGGGCGTGTCCACCTACAGGCGGATTTTGGATGAACAGTAAGAAGAAAAACCAAAACAACATTTGAAAATAGCCAGAATTAGTCTAAGAATCGTCCCAAAACGATGTCTGAAATATTTGTCATCATTCCTCCTGAAGATGGAGAGGCACGACTTAACACTTGCACTCTCGAGCCGCCCAAGAATCCCGATCGTCAGTCTGCCCCCGCCGCGCCGTGCAGGGGAGCCCAGAATCGAATCGATAAGTCGGATCGGCGATCGAAATAAGTCGGATCGGCAGAAATCGGCAGCCGAGTCGGGAAAAGTCGAATCGGCGGAAATCGGCAGGCTAGTATGCGTCCAATCAGGTATCGGAGCCCAAATCGGAATCCGAAATCGAATCGAATCGGAATCGGAATCCATCGGAGTCGAATCGAATCGAATCGGAGGATTCGAAACGAGCCCTGGCCGTGCCCCCCCCCACCTCCCCATCATCCACGAGGGGCGGTAAACTCCGCAGACGCCCTGCGTCTCCAAAAAATCGAGCATCTCTTTCGTAGTTTTCGGCCTCTCGGGGCGTCGAAAGAAAAACTCGGGACAAGAAAACTGGTCCCGAGCAAGCGGTCAATCGGGCTGGGCGGAAGGGGATCGATAGCAAAGGGGGAGGGGGGAGGAGAATCAGCTCACGTAGCTGATTTTCCCGGCGCCTTCCGGCGCCAGGAGGCGCCCATGTATCGAGGAATGGGCCCGGCGGCGGGGCCGAAACCAGCTGCGTGCAGCAGATTTCGTAACCCCCCGTTTCCCTATCCCCCCCTTTTCGTTCGGCCCGGGCCAGGGAGCCGGAGGCCCTGGTCTCGAACAGATCGAGACGCCGGGTGTCTGGGGCCTCTTCCCGCGGGCGCGCTCGCCCGTCCTAGGCCTGCCTGGGCACAGCACCGGAGCGGCTGGGGAAGGTGCCGATCTGGCGGGCGGAGGGTGAGGCCAGATGCCTCCAGTCCACCTCTCGCTCTCGGCGAACGTCGGCTTGACAACGGCGGGACCGACCGTCCCGGCATTTCTATCGTCCTACCACGAGATGCCCTTAGAACCAAAAATGCCCCAAGAGCAAAAACAATATTCTTAGAACTTAAGCCTTATGTGTTAAAACAAGATAGCCCCAGCCAGACATGTTCTAAGAACATGTCGTTGAAACCACAAAAGGTTCTTAGACAATTATTTGGTAGGCCTAGAGGCGGGCCAGGACGCTTCGCCACTGCTTCCTTCCTGCGCTCTCGCAACTGAGACTGGAGCGCGGGGCGTCCTGGGTGCCGCGCGGGGCCGGTGGCATCCCGAGGGGGCACCGGGTCGGCCTTCCGTCAGAGGTGAGCGGTCCTCACCAGAATACGATCTAACATGCACAGTTCCAATATAAGTGAATATGATTTACTCCTGCACGTACGCATAAGTCGGGGGTGTCCCCCTACAGGGGGATTTTGGACGAACAATGGAACATAGTCACACAATGCCCAAATATGGTCAAGAATAGTCAAAAAATCGTCCCCCTTACCATTTTTGAATATTCCTGCTGTAGAGCTGTGGAAGGACAGGCCCGACTTAACTGTACGTGCGCGCGGGAAGATGTGACAAAGGTGTTCCCCAGGATCCCCAGGGAGGTCCAGATGACCCCCAGAGCACACCCTCGCAAGGCTCCGGGGGGGCCCAAAAGAGGACCCCAGCATGGCGCGGAGAGCCGGAGGACGCCGTGGGCCAAGACCACCTCCGTCAACACCCGGCCTGGGTCGCCCGACTCCAGTCGCGACCCCGCGGTCACCGTTGCGCCCTCGCGCCGCCGTCCTGGAGGAAGGCACGCCACAAAGAGGTTGACAAACGCGCGAGCGCTGCGGTGTTGGGGGGCGGGGGGGGGGCCGTTCCGTGAATGATGCCTCCTCCCGTAACGCCCGGTATAGCCATGATCAAGAAATCGCTCTCCCAGAGGCAGGTTTGTCAGCTCGGATTGTTGTGGTTGGAGTCGCCACCCAGCCCCGCCATGGTTACAGGCCGCGCGGAGACCCCACCGCACGGTCTGTCTCCACACAGTCTGGGGGCCCTGGAGGCCCCCGTCCCCCGTCCGAGACACCCTCGGGGAACGGCGCGAGACCGAAAAAAAGCGCGGTGACCCCAGATCCCCACTGCCTCACCACCCAGCGTGGCAACCACACCGCTTTGGGCCTCCGCGCCCCGGCGTGCGGGTGGGGCCAAGATCTGCCTTCCGGGAGGCAACCCGGCCAAGATCTGCCTTCCAGGAGGCAACCTCGACATCGCCTCCTCTTCGTTCGCTGTAATCGTGCCACCGATGGGAGGTTCCGTAATATTGCCAGCCTGCCTCGCGGGAGCAGATGGTTGTCTCTTGGCGGTTGTTTCCTGGTCGTAATAGTCTTGGTCCTCTTGCCAATGTTGTCCGGACTGACATCCTCATACCTGGTTGGGGGCGTTCCTTGTGCATGCGTACTTCCAAATCCGCCACCGTGCCGCTGGGCACGATGTGGGCGTGTCCTCTGGGCCTCACGCCTCACTCCTGAGGAGCCTTTGGGGGGCCACACCCCAAAGTCCGAAATTTGGCGGGGCTTGGCGCGTGCCAACCGAGGCCTGGCGCGAACCCCCGCAGGGGCCAAACCGCATCTTGTCGCGTGATTTTTGTTCGGGCCCATGAGGACCC